ACGAGGGTCTAGAAGTCAGGGCTCTTCACTTAGGGTGCTTGACTTCCAGTGCAGAACAAAAATTTCTGGACAAGACTCAACGGTAAGGAAACCTGGGGGGGCCTTAAAAGTAAGCAAGCAGACAAGTGGAAAGGCCAGCGCTTCCAACGCTGGTGTGCTCAGAGGGAGGAACACACACAACTCCAGGGATCGCAGGGTATTTATATGGTAAAGACAGAGGTTCCCGGGCTGGCAAGGTGGCTCAGTGGTAGAGCACTTGTCTTGCATGCCTGAGGCCCTGGGTTCGATTCCTAAGCACTACATAAGCAAAAAGAAAAAAAAACAGAAGTGGTGCTGTGGCTCAAGTGGTAGAGCGCTAGCCTTGAGCTGAAGAGCTGAGGGACAGCGCCCAGGCCCAGAGTTCAGGCCCCACAACTGGACCCAAAAACAAAAGACAGAGGTTCTGACTTTAAAGTTAGGCAAAGATAGTGTTACTTCTTGAGTTTCTGGATGTTTGAGGCATTTTTTCCAGGTAAGAATGCATCCTGCCATAAAACAGACGCTTCTCCTGGAGATAGCCAGTTATCTGCATTTTGGGTAAGAGATTGCTTAAGTTTTGGGGAAGCACTTTTCTTTGGAAGGCATACATCCTGCCAGGCAAAAAATTCTTTGGGTGAGAAATGCAACCTCTGGGAAGGAATGCATCCTGTTGTCTCCCTTTGAAGCAATAAATACCATGTTTCTGAGTTGCCTTCACCAGGCCTCATTTCCCCTAAATGACTTTGGTCCCTTCATCTTAAGAAAAGTAAATGAATTAGTATCTCCTGTATTTGCTGTAAGCTTACCATATGTGTTCTCTTTGTCTGTCCTGGTTCAATTTGATAGCCTAGGCTGTTAGAAAGAGTTCTTTATTCCAATTGTATGTGGGGGCGTGCATGGGGGGGGGTCCACGTGCACACATGTGCGCATGCGTGCACACACACACACACACACACACACACACACACACTGACGTTAAGCACTGAGAGGGGACTGGAGCTGGTACAGCTTCTTTCCAGGCTTTGCTTTTGTTTTAGGGATTTTAGGGGGAAAAAAAAAAACCCTCTAAACAAGGTTAACTCGACCTAGGCTCCAACCAGCTCAGTTCTTGGAATGGAAAGAATGCCTCTAGGTCCCCCTCCCCTTAACAACTTAACCCACCTTCATTGTTCTGTTAAGGACTGACCAATTAAACAGATAGCCAGTAATTTGGCTCACACTGGCAACTTCAGGAGCTTACCATAAACTCCGCCTTCACGTGCTTATGTTAAACTCCACTAAACTCCTCCTTTGTGTATGCTTACCGAAAGCTCTGTCTTACTGTTGAATTCGTGAGTCATTTAAACCAAAAGTGATAGGCTGGTTTAAACTGCCATTATGTGACAAAGTGTAACCTCATTGGCCACCTGCGTGTGGTCTAGTATGACTGTGCAATCTTTTGGGTGTGTGACAATCTCATGGGTCACCTGCGTGACCAGGCTTGACCTTGTGAATTTTGCCTTTAAAAACCTAAGTGGGGGGGGGGGGGGCTGGGAAGGTGGCTCAGTGGTAGATCGCTTGCCTTGCATGCACGATGCCCTGGGTTCGATTTCTCAGCACCACGTAAGAAAAAAGCTGGAAGTGGCGCTGTGGCTCAAGTGGTAGAATGCTAGCCTTGAGCTGAAGAGCTGAGGGACAGCACCCAGGCCCAGAGTTCAGGCCCCATGACCGGAGCCCCCCCTGCCCCCCCCAAAAAAATCTAAGTACGTTGGCCACTCAGGGTCGCAGTATCAGCTCCCGAAGGAACCTTCTCAATAAAAGTTGCTTCTTTAGTAACTCGCTCCGCAGGACTAGGTGGGCTTACTTGCCTGGGTCTTCCTACTACAACACACAAACACATTTACCAGTCCTGGGGCTTGACCTTAGTCTAATACTATCTTTAAGCTTCTTTTGCTCAAATTTAGTTCTCTACCACTTGAGCCATAGCTCTACTTCCACCTTTTTTGGTAGTTTATTGGAGGTAAGCATTTTACTGCACGTTAGGACCCAGTCCTAACACTTTGACCTTTTATTAGAAGTATTCTGAAAGGAAAAGTGTCCAAACTTGGATACCTTTTCTCCAAAGAAAATAGGGATTCAGCTCCTAAATTGCATAACTAGAATATTTACTAAATGTGCTAAATTTTTTCAAGCCCTTTCTTTTTCTTAACAAAATTTACAAGCATCCTGGGATAATTGTTTACATGCAATGAAAGTCCCTATTTATATTAATCATTTGAAAATATCAAGTTCATTTAATAAACTATTGAGATTTATTAGACTGCCAGAGAACCACAGACATCCAGGTACAGAGAACAAAGAAAGGTTTAATGCCAGGAAGGGGGCCGGCCAGACCCCTTCTCACAAAGTGAGAAGCGCCGGCTATTGTCTGGGGTGACCTGTGTAACCTAGGAGGTTTAGGAGGGGCTAGAAGGGGCTAGGAGGCAGAGACCCTTGTGTGGACATGTGGGCCAGGGGCTTCATTGTGGCAGACTAGGTTTTATGGCTGCTGTCCAAATAGTAGATAAAGTGCCCTGTAGCTGCCCAGACCTGAAGGTCACTTTAAGGGCTCTTGTTGCTTTATATGGTGGTAGCTGCCCCAGAGTGTCATCCCAAGGTAGAGGGGATTGGAAGTTGATTATTTACTGCCTTTACTAAGCGGGCCCAGTGTTGCCTTGGAAGAGAGCATGCTAAACCATGGAGAAGGGAAGGAGTATACTAAGCTAAGGGAAGGGAGCTCATTTTGCTAACAACTATTTTGTTATTCGGGAATTCAGTTGCAAGAAACAGTGTTAGGAAAACAGAGAACAGGAAAAGAATAGGCCAGGCTTGGTCATCAACAGAATATGACTCTTTTGTTGTTGTTGTTATTGGTCATGGGACTTGAGCTCTGGGCCTAGGTGCTGTCCCTCAACTCTTCAGCTCAAGGCTAGCGCCCTATCACTTGAGCCACAGCACCAATTCCGACTTTTTCTGCTTATGTGGTGCTGAGGAACCGAACTCAGGGCCTCATGCATGCAAGGCAAGCACTCTACCACTGAGCCACCTTCCCAGTGCCCAGACTAGGGTTCTTTATTACCAGTGATTAACTCAGACCTTCCTGTGGGTTTGGAGGTTGTCCAAGGGAGTGGATTTTGAGATGGGCTTATTTATACAGGGCTTAACAAGGAAGCAAAAAACAAAATATGGGCTATGGTCTCTTGGAAGCCAAGGACAGTTTTCTTGGCCAGCCCCAGAATGCATGAAGCCCTGGGTTCGATTCCTCAGAACCACATAAACACAAAAAACCAGAAATGGTGCTGTGACTCAAGTGGTAGAGTGCCTAGCCTTAGGCAAAGAAGCTCAGGGACAATGTCCAGGCCCTGAGTTCAAGCCCCAGGACTGACAAAAAGAAAAAGGAAATTGAGCCATAGCAGTAGTAAAGAAAGGGGGGTGGGGGAGGCTGGGAAGGGATGTGAAGGGTAAACAAAGGAGAAGGCTGCAATGCTTGATAAGAAATGTACTCATTATCTTGCCCATGTATTTGTAATCCGTCTGTATAGTATGTTCACAATAAAAAATAAAAATAAAAAAGGGCAGAGAAATCCACCATTTTGTGTGGAATTCAGGAAATGTTCCAGTTTTTTATTTCTCTCTACTTCCTTTAGTTATGCTAAAATCTCCTTTGACACAGTAAAAGCCTAGGAATTCTTCTTGAATGGTTAGTCACAGAAACAATGAAAGGCATTTAGAGTAGGCCTGACCAATCTTAACCTGAACTGTTGCTAAACACCAGGCCAGTAATTTTAGCCTAACTCAGTAAGTACAAAGCCTGCAGAAGGAGCGGTGATTTTGAGTCTTTTAACTCCCATTTGTGTGGTTTGAAGCCAGCCTGGGCATAAAAATTGAGACTTTTATATCCAATTAACTGGCAAAAAAACCCTGGAATTTGCCATGTGATCATGGTTCAAAGCCAGCCCCAGGACGAAAGCACATGACTCTTCCAATTAAATAACAAAAACCAGGAAGTAGAACTGTGATTCAAGTGGCAAAGCACCAGCTAAGTAACAGTATCCAAGTCCTGAGGTCAAGCCCCAGTACCAGTTTGCGCGCGCGCACACACGCGCTCGCACGCGCGCGCGCACACGCACACTCGCACGCGCGCGCACACACGCACACAGCACCAGATGTGGAGTTATGTCTCAAGTGGTAAAAGTGTCAGCCTTGAGAGGAAAAAGCCAAGTCATAGCTGGGTGCCCGTGGTTCACTCCTGTAACCCTAACTACTCAGTAGGCTGAGATCTGAGGACCAAAGTTCAGTGCCAGCCCAGGCAGGAAAGTCTGTGACACGCATCTCCAATTTACTAAAACCAGAAATGGTGCTGTAGTTCAAAGTAGTAGAGCTCTAACCTTGAGCAAAAGAGCTCCAATAATGTACCCAGGCCCTGAGTTCAAGTCCTGCAACTGGAAAAAATTACTTTTTCAAGTTTCATGGGCTTTTCCTGGTCCTAACTGCCTCTGAACTCTACCCTCAGATCTCAGCCTCCTGAGTGGCTAGACAGCGGGAGGAAAACCCCCATTGCCCCCACACGGGATATACCTGGGTTGGGCTACACCACCCAGGAGAGCTTCCACTGTAACTTCGCTTTCCACATTCTTTTGTTACCTTTGGATGTGAGGCAGGGGGTGAGAAAGGGCGTGTCTGCTGCATTTTATGGGGACTCAAGATACAGAGGCCTCCTCTTGGCTCTACTTCTATTACATTTGTTTCATGGCTTTATGATCTGACCTCACATGTCAATTATACCTATGTTCCCTTATAGACAAATGTCCTAAGCATTAAGGGGAATAAGAGCCAGCACTGTTTGGAATTTTGTCCTGAGCTGGCCTTAAGAACAGTTATATCCATATGTACATCACCTTTGTAATAAAATAAAAAGTTACTCCCCTTTCCAGGTGTATCAACACAAGAAAAGACTATTTAGAAACCAGACATTTAGCAGTTTATTCCTTGTTCCAAGTTAAGACCAAATAATTTTATTGCATTTACTATTCCTGGGCATATAGATGCAGCTACTCAGAAATAGAAATTTAGTTATAAAATCATGTAACTCTTTCATTGGGTTGGGGTAGAGGCTTCTTGAAGTGAAAATCAAGTGACAAAGAGCACCAGGAGCCTCAAGTTCATCTTCCCAGGCTTCCTGTCTCACACAGAACACAGAGGAGCAGCCTGTTAGTTAGTGTCAGGCCCCGCCGCAGCTATACCCAAGCCTCCATGCCTCCTCACGAAGCCTGGCCCACTTCACCAGTCTGTCAGGATAATTAAGACCATGTTGTTGATTGTTTGAGGTTTTACTACCAACTGTCTGTCACTCACAGTCCAGACCCCCAGGATTTGACCTTTAAAGGCTATGGATGAAGATTCTTCCATCCTGACAACAGCAGCCCTGAATGCCAATTATTGGGTTTGGATCCTACCTTCATTGGAATGGCAAACAAGTCAATTGAAGCTTGTATTGGCTCATGTGAGTCAGGACCATCAACAGTACCATAAGGTTGGAGTTGTGGCTTGAACTGTGTGTCCTCAAAATCCCAAGGTTCAAGTCCTGACCCCTAGTACCTCAGAATGGGACTCTAGGAAATGGTTACTGCAAATACAGATGAGGCTATATGGCACAGGTAGGGTGGGCTCTGAGCCAGGGACTGGCTTCCTTATCCAAGAGGGAAATATGGAGACAGACACACATGGAGAACTGCTGTGTGGTGGTGAAGGAAAAAGGTGTAATGTGACCAAACACCAGCAAGTCTGGGGTAAGACCAAGTGTCCCTCCAGCCTCAGAAAAAAACAGCTCTGCAGACCCCCGACCTGGACATGCAGCCAAGTCCAAGTGTAGTCCCCTGACATGTGCTACTGTGCTGCAATACTGGTGGGAAATTAACTCAACCACCTCCAAGTCAGCATCGATGGAGGACACAACTTCACCGGGCCGTCTGCCCAGAGAGCCCCGACTCCAGGGCTGAGCTACACACTCCCAGACAGAATGGAAGAGGAACTTAAAGGCCATGCAACTCAGCATCGAACACACATTTCCTAAGGACCTTCAGGATTAAAAAAATAAAAAGGCAGGTTGGAGTAGATAGGCAAGAGGTTAAACGGGAGCTTGCTTGGGATGAGCTCCCCATCCGTGCCACGTGGCTGCCAGAGCATGTCTACCCCCACTGCCAAGGCTAAAGGCTTGGTGATCCTCTGGGACCTGTGGGGTGCTCCTGGGACAGGGTGGGCTGGGGCTGGCTTCTGGAAACAGGACGTAGTTCAGTGTTTGGCCCTGCTCTCTACTGGGGCCCCAGTCCCACGGCCTTCCTGTCAGCCCATCATCCCACTGGCAGTTGGACAGGAACTAGAGTTACCCTTGACCTGGGGGGGGAGGATGGGGGGAGTGTGCTGAGGATCTAAGGAGAGTCCCAGACGGTGTGTGTGTGTGGGGGGGGGGTCCGTTACGACACGCATATGAAGCATGCTGAAGCTGGTGGTGACATGCCTTCCCTGGTTTTTGGCACAGCAGAATGGGAAGGAAGGCTGGGCAAGCCACTCTCCTTATCTGGGGAGGAGGAAGGGGGCTCCCATGGCACCAGAAGTTGGAGACTACCTGAGAGCAAAGGGCAGGAAGAGCCGCTGTCTCTGTCCTGGGCAGGGGTACAATGCGTGGCTGCGCCGGGAGGGCTCAGTAGGAGTTGAGGGCCTGCTTGGAGCGCCGCTTCATGTGTAGGCGCTCGTGGCGGAGGAGGTCGCAATTGTGCACGAAGCTTTTCACACAGTACCGGCAGCGGAAGGGACGCCCCTCGTCCTTCAGGTGGAAGGTGCTGCGGTGCCTGAGCAGCTGGTCCTGCCTCTGGAAGCCCTTCCCACAGTCACGGCACTGTGTGCTCGGCTTGGCCTTGCTCTTTTCCAGCAGGGGCTCTGGGCCCCCGCCCTCGCTCTCTGACTCCCGCTTCTCTCTCTTCTGCACCGGCTTGAGTCTGTCTGGCTGCACGTGTATCCGCCTGTGCGAGAGCAGGTGTGCGTTGAGGCGGAAGCTCTTCCCACAGACGCCACACCTGTAGGGTTTCGGGGTCTCGTGGGTCTCCAGGTGCCCATCCAGGTCCTCGCTGTCACTGAACAGCTCCCCACACACCGAGCACTCGTGCGGCTTCTGCTCCCTACGACTCCGCAGGTGCCGGATGAAGTTGACCCTCCAGCGGAAGATCTTCCCGCAGTTTGGACACACGTAGGATTTCTGGGAGGCCTGCCCCTCGCCCCGGACCTCGGCGCTGCTCAGCTGCTTCTCCGGGCTGCTCCTTCGCTCTTCCCTGCAGTACGGGCCGTGCTGGGAGTCCTCTTCCCCAGAGCTGGACAGGACGATCTCAATGGTCACTTCCTGGTCAAGGCCATTCTTTAGGGGTGGCGAGTCACCTCCGGCTGCAGGCAACCAACGTGATGGGTCAGTGGTGCTGTCCTGGCTACGTCTCACCCCAGACCCTGTCCAAGAAGGCTGGCAGTTCAGAAACTCATTTTCCCAATGCTTGGTGACCGTAAGGGACCTAAGGTGCACTGCACAGGCCCCTGGAGTTGGAGAAGGAAATGCCTGGGCCACACCAAGACCAAAGCGCCTTGGTACCTTTCTCTCCTGGCTTCAGTGCCATTTTCCCTAACCCCTCACCCTCAACTCATGTCTTCCTGAGCCAGAGACTACAACTGATGCAATATTTATCAGTGTAACGTTTATCCTGGACTCTCTGCACAGGAGCCACCTCACTAAACCAAACACAGCAAAAGTCGGTCAGGATCATGCCAAAGATCATGCCATGTGCGAGCACTGAAATGCCCAGGGACTATGCTAGACTTCTCATGTGCTCAGCCTCTTTGCTTGGACACTGCTGGGGGACATGACTTAGCAAGTTATACACAGTAACAACTGAAGTGATCTAGTCCTACAATGCTGAATTTCACATTAAGGTTGCTTAATGGCCCCAGACTGTCCAGGATCACTGAATTCCACCTCTTACCCCTGCACATGCCCCCAAGACCTACACCCATGACACAAAGGCCCTCCTTACCTGGACAGTTGCTTTGTGGGAGCATCACCTGTGGGCAGGCCTGCAGACCTGGCACCTGTAGCTCCTCCCACCTCCTTCTTTCCTCCACCTGGAATGGCTGAAGACTAGGAAAGTCTTTCCAAAGAAGAAAATGAGAGAAGTAATTGTCTTGTACTGTAATCTACTACCTGGGGCCTGGAAAGAGGCCAGGCAGAGAGTTGAAGGTATGGAGCTCCCCACTGGGGCCTAAGAAGTAGTCACTCTGCATTTACTGAGTGAATAATGCTGAAGGCAAAATATGCTGATACCATGAATCTGGGGTCTGAAGCCAGAATCACTATAGGACTTGGTTCTGTTTATCTTTGTGGCCAAACAAGTAATGGCTTTAACTATGAGGTTCTCTACAGACAGACCTGCAGACCCTCTACATAGCCCATGAAGTCTATGGGGCAGAGACTGGAGGGATAGGAGCTACCACACCACACCAGAGGCTCTGGATGCATGTTCCGCATGAAGACGGTGCACCAGAACCTGACACCGTGGTGCCAAGGCAGGAGTTCCAGGGCTGTTGCTGACTAGACACCAAGCTCCAAAGAGGCAAGTTATTCACAGCATGGCACAGAGATTACAAACATGAGCTGCAGAGACCAACAGCTGAACACCAAGACAAGGCAGAGCCCCTCCCTGCAGCACTTGTGCGTAAAGGCAGGGGAAAGGAGCAGGAAGCAAAGTGTCATGCTTGCTTCGGCAGCACAGGTACTAAAATTGGAACGATACAGAGATTAGCATGGCCCCTGCACAAGGAAGCAAAGTGTAAGGGGGTTATTATGCTCAGTGCTTGATCAAGAGATGCTCCCAGCAGCCTGGCTTGTCCCAAGCATCTGACTTCACTTCTTTTTTTTTTTTTGGTCCAGTCGTGGGGCCTGAACTCTGGGCCTGGGCGCTGTCCCTCAGCTCTTCAGCTCAAGGCTAGCGCTCTACCACTTGAGCCACAGCGCCACTTCTGGCTTTTTTTCTTTTTGCTTATGTGGTGCTGAGGAATCGAACCCAGGGCCTCGAGCATGCAAGGCAAGCGCTCTACCACTGAGCCACCTTCCCAGCCCCTGACTTCACTTCTACAGGGCCTTGTCAGTACAAACCAGGTAGGTAAACGATTCCCACTATTTCTCAGCCCTTAGTAAAGGGAGAACAATCCCTGTTGATGGCAGAAATGATCCCCATTCTTTCAGCAAGAAGTCAGAGACAGAGCTAGGAATGTGGCTTAGTGGTAGAGTGCTTGCCTAGCATGCATGAAGCCCTGGGTTCAATTCCTCAGTATCACATACACACACAGAAAAGCCACAAGTGGTGCTGTGGCTCAAGTGGTAGAGTGCTATCCTTGAGCTGAAGAGCTGAGGGACAGCGCCCAGGCCCAGAGTTCAAGCCCAAGACTGGCAAAAATAAAATAAAAAAGGAAGCCAAGGACAAGACAAGACCTGAACCATCACTAAGACAGAGTGAAGGGGATGTGGATGGGAGGCTTGGGGAAATAATGAGGGAGCAGCCCAGCTCTCCCTTTACACCACCCACTTCTGGATCGTACTCACCCAAATGGGGGACCTGAGGCCCTTCTTTGCCCTGGAGGTCCTGAAACTCTGGAACCCGTGGCTCGCTCTCCTCTCCCTGGGAAAGATCTGGCTGGGCTGGTGCTTCATCTGTTTAGAAAGGCCCAGGACACACCTGGATTTGTGACCTGTTCCTGCAGGCCATCAGGGCTTGGTCCAGTGTGAGACTCTCACCCACAGTCAGGGACCAGGAGGGACTGAGAGGTGTGGGAAGTCCAAGCGGAGGCAGCGCCCCGGAGGGACAGCCCAGCCCAGGGCAGCTCTCAGAGCTGGAAAAGGCGACGGGGTAACAATGGTTGAAGAACAGAAATGCTACAATGTCATAACTGGTTTCTAGAACAGACTGGGAAGCCTGGCCTACAAGTGCAGAGAAATGCAGCTGTGGGACCCCGCACACAGGGCCTCCTCTCAAGGCTGAAAGGTGAGCAGTAAGACTGGAGGCAGTGCCCAGTGTCCTGACCTTCTAGGAGGAAGTCACTGACTCAGGGCGAGACCCCTGCCAGTTCCCTGTCTCAGAGGGCATAGGAGTTAGGGCTTACTTGGAGACACTGAGACCTCGTAGTCCTCTCCAATGATGAACTCTCCATAGTAACCAGTCTGGGCAGGGTCTAGAAGGGACCAGTCCTCTTCAGAGAAACATAGAATCATGTCCTTAAATGGAGAAACCCGGTTCTGAAACCACAGGAGAACAGAAGGTCTCAATCTAGGGATGACCTAAGTATCTTAGTCCACTCAGGGTGCTATGAACAAACACTACAGAGGGCTGGGAAGGTGGCTCAGTGGTAGAGCGCTTGCCTCGCATACATAAGGCCCTGGGTTTGATTACTCAGCACCACATAAGCAGAAAAAAGTGGAAGTGGTGCTGTGGCTCAAGTGGTAGGATGCTCACCTTGAGCTAAAGAGCTGAAAGACAGCACCCAGGCCCAGAGTTCAGGCCCCAGGACCGGCAAAAACAAACAAACAAACAAAAATATATAGACTCAGTGGCCTCTAAACAGCAATTATGTCAATTCCAGAAGCAAAAAATCCAAGATCAAGGCACCAGCAAAATAGGTCTCTTGCAAGGGCCTGCCTTTTGGCTCAAAAATGTCATGCCAGGCGCTAGTGGCTCCTGCCTGAAATCCTAGCTACTCACGAGACTGAGACCTGATAATCATAGCTTGAAGTCAACCCAAGCAGGAAAGTCCAGATGAGACTCTCATCTCCAATTAACCACCTGAAAACTAGAAGTAGAGTTGTAGCTCAAAGTAATAGAGCACTAGTCTTGAGCCAAAAAGCTCAGTGACAATACCCGGACAAAGCTCAAGCCCCACCACCAACAGAAAAAAGAGAAGAATGTCAAAAAGCAAAAAATATGACATTGCTGGCTCTGCATACCAGAAAAGACAGCCCTGCTGGAAACCAGGTCCTTTCCAGAGGTGACACCTGGGCAGCCAAACGCAAGGGCATTTTCTCTGTGACTCAGGTTTCCCAGGTAAGACCAGGTGAAATGGTCCAGCAGAGGCCTCAGGCTACTGACAGCTCAAGTCCAGACGAGCTCTTCTGAGCTCCAAGCTCCTCATCTTGCTATGATTAGTTTATATTACTGTAATAATTTTGTTCTTGGCAATTTTGATTGTGCAACCCAAAAATCAGTCCTTTTGTGTTTTAGATTATCTAAAATGGTCTTATCCATTAAAAGTAAGAATGAGAATGTGACTGTGTGTGTTTATGAACTAGACCTAGGGGCTTAAACTTGGGTACTGGGTGCTGACCCTGAGCTTTTGTTCTCAAAACTAATGCTCTACCACTTGGAGATAAGCCTCACACACTTTCCTGCCCAGATGGCTTTGAACCATATACCTAAGATCTCAGCCTCCTGAGTATCCACCAGCAACAAACTGAGGGTTTGAGCAAGATTTAGTCTCATAAGATCACAAGGCTACAGGCTAAGTATCAAGAGAAAAAAAATCTCACATTTTTATCAAGAATCAAAAGAGATTTCAAAAAGAACGGAAAAAACTCAAGGCATGGGCGCTGTCTCTGAGCCAATTTTTGCTCAAGGCTGGCATTTTACCACTTGAGCCTCAGCACCACTTCCAGGTTTTGAGTACTTAATTGGACAGAAGAGTCTCTCCGGGATGTTCCTGTCCATGCTGGCTTCAAACACGATCTTCAGATCTCAGGTCTAAGCCACAGGACTGACTGTGAGACTCTTATTTCCAATTAACCACCAGAAAACAAGACATGGAGCTGTGGCTCAAAGTGGTAGACCACTAGCCTTGAATGAAAAGCTTCAGGCACAGTGCCCAGGTCCTGAGTTCAAGCCCTACAACCAACAAAAAAGAAAGGGTTGGGAATGTGGCTTAGTGGTTAGAGGGCTTGCCTAGCATGCATGAAGCCCTGGATTCCATTCTTCAAAAACAAAACAAAATAAAAAGCCAGAAATGGCACTGCGGCTCAAGTCGTAAAGTGCTAGCCTTGAGTAAAAGAAGCTCGGAGGCTGCCGGGCGCTGGTGGCTCACGCCTGTAATCCTAGCTACTCAGGAGGCTGAGATCTGAGGATCATGGTTCAAAACCAGCCCGGGCAGGAAAGTCCGTGAGACTCTAATCTCCCATAAACCACTAGAAAACCGGAAGTTGCACTGTGGCTCAAGCAGTAAAGCGCTCGCCTTGAACTGAAGAGCGCAAGGACAGAGCCCAAGCCCAGAGTTCACGCCCCATGACCAAGAAAAAAAAAAAATAATAATAATAATAAGCTCAGGGACAGTGCTAGGCAAGCACTTTACCACTAAGCCACATTCCTAGCCCATAAGACTCTTATTTACAATAAACTACCCAGAAAGAGGTAAAAGTGGAACAGTGGCTCAAATGGTAGAGTGCTAGCATTGAGCAAAAAGAAGTTCAGGGACAGTTGCCAGGCCGAGATCAAGCCCCAAAACCAGTACAACTATATCTTCAACAGAGTAACCAGAAAGCACTGATTTACTAGAACCTGTGTGTTAAGCTGGGCACTGGTGGCTCAATCCTATAATGCTAGGTACTCAGGACATTGAGATCTGAGGATTGCAGTTCAGAGCCAGCCTGGGCAGGAAAGTCTGTGAGGCTCTTATCTCCAAATAACCATCAGAAAACTGCAAGTGGTTCTGTGGCTCAAAGTGGTGGAACACTAGCGTTGAGTAAAGCTCAGGGACAGTGCCCAGGCCCAGAGTTCAAACCCCATGACCGCCAAGAAAAAAAAAAAACTAAGCTCTGGTCTTCTCCTCAGAGGTCCATAGCTTAGGACTCCTGGCCATTGTGCTCTGCCATCTGTCTGCACAAGGTAGCACCATAGCTCAGTCCTGCTCATGTTCATTTTTTTGGGCTGGGGCTAAACATCTAATATGGCCACCAGCAAAGTGGCCGGGGTTCCAAGAAGCTGCCCTGCCCTGTGGTGTCCTTCAGAGAGGCCGATGTCAGGTTTTCAAGGACTGTATAGCCATTACTCACCGGGGGCAGGTGGCAGGTGGTCACCTGCTGGGCATCTCTCATGCTTTCCTCTTGAAGGACAATATCCTGAGGAACTGAAAGAGATCAGAAACATGTCCTGAAGGGAGCCGGGCCTGGCTCTCCCACTTTGTGGGCTCCTCAGGCTTCTCTACTTCCAATTTTGCAAACAGAGATATCAAGTGAGAGAACCAATAGCAAGACATTCCTGGTGCTTCTCCTAAAACTCCAAGTCCTCACCTAGAGGATAAGCAGCACAGGAAAAATACTTTGCAAACCAAAGCATCTTGGCCACCACAAGGATGCCTGCATTAGATATAATTAGCTCCCTGACCTCACCTAGGCACCAGCCCTGGGGCTTGAATCAAGGCCTGGGCACTGCCTGCCCTTTTCTCTTTATGTGGTACTGAGGAATCGAACCCAGGACTTCATACATCCTAGGCAAGCACTCTAATACTAAGCCACATTCCCAGCCAAAGGACTTCAGTGTTGTTGTCTAAAATACAGGGAAAACAAGCTGGGCACTGGAGGTTTACACCTGTAATCCTAGCTACTCAGGACAAGAAGTTCTGAGAACAATGGTTCTAAGCCAGTCCCTGCAGGAAAGTTTGTGAAACTCTTATCTCCAACTGACCACCAAAAAAGCCAGAAGCAGCGCTGTGGCCAGCCTTGAATAAAAAAACTCAGGAACAGTGTCCAGGCCCTGAGTTTAAGCCCCAGGGATGGCACACAAAATAAGCCAACAAATAAGTAGAAAATAAAGTGGCAGGGCTGGAAATGTGGCTCAGTGGTAGAGTGCTTGCCTAGCATGCATGAAGCCCTGGGCTGAACTCCTCAGTGCCACAGAAAAAGCTGGAAGTGGAGCTATAGTTCAAGGGGTAGAGCACTAGCTCTGAGCATAGAGAGACTCAGGGACAGAGCCTAGGCACTGAGTTCAAGCCACAGGACCAACCAAAAAAAAGAAAAGAAAAGAAAAGAAAGAAAAAAAAAATGCCAATAAGGACTAAAGGGAATAAGTCAACATGGGACCCCTGGTTATCACATAAGTTTACATAATACCTGTAAGTTTGTGTACTCCAGAGCTCCAGGAAAAGACGTTATCTGAGGATGGGAGATAAAGAACCCTTGTCCATTACCAGTAACAACATAAATCTCAGCTGTTAGAGAAAACAAGAGGCCCTCAAGGTGAAGACCAGAATTACCCAATGATCTAATAATCCCACCATGAGTCTCCATGCATGTTCACTGCAGAACTTTCAATAACTCAGGCGTGGAAGCAGCCTAGGTACCCTATAGCTGGTGACCAGATGAAGAAAACGTGGTCTGTATACACAATGGAGTGCTACTGTTCTGCCTTCACTAATAAGGACACATCATTTGTAACCACACAGATGAAGCAGGGGGGAATTTTACTATTTGAAACATGCTTCAGATAGAAAAACAAATGCCGCATGATCTTATGTGTAGAGGCTCTCGCTGGCTCTGGGCAAAAACATCAGACTCTACCTGAAAGCTAATAAGAACTGGGAGGCATATCTCAACTGGTAGAGCCCCTGTCCAGGAAGCATGAGTTCAACCCCTAGTACTAAAAAATCAAATCTTGAAAAACCAAACTCACCGGCTGGATGCTGGTGAGTCATGCCTCTACTCCTAGCTACTCAAGATCTGAGGATGGTGGCTGGAAATCAGCACAGGCAGAAGAGTATGAGACTTTATTTCTAATTAACCACAAAAAAGCCAGAAGTGGAGCTGTGGCTCCAGCAGTAGAGTGCCAAGCCTTTTGAATGGGAATGTGAATGAGGCCCTGAATAGCACCAGCACCAGAAGGGGGAAAAAAGGGAGGAGAAAGGGTAATAAGGAAAAGAGGGTAGGAGGACAGAGAAAGAAAAGTGGTAAAAAGGGGAGGAAGAGAAGGGAGGGAAAAGTGCCAGCAGTTTCTGTCAGATACCCCTGGAAGAGCACTGGCCAAGACCCAGCCCCGTCACCTACGCTCCGAGTGCGACTTTGGAACCATCTCACTCCCCTCACTCACTTTGAGCCTTCAGGACCTGTGCCATAGTATAATGCTTCTGTTTGGAAACTATGCCTAGTTCAAACTCTGCCAACAATGAGCGCCATACCTGGTCAAGGTTCAACTAGGTAAAAATAATGTGCTTCCAAAGGCCTCCTGTCAGGACACAGGGTTCAGTAGTAGAGTGTTTATGTCTTGTGCACAAGGCACTGGGTGTGATATCAGACTAAAATTGGGGGAGCTGGGGCTGGGAAGGTGGCTCAGTGGTAGAGCGCTTGCCTTGCATGCATGATGCCCTGGGCTCAATTCCTCAGCACCATATAAGCAAAAAGAAAAAAGCTGGAAGTGGCGCTGTGGCTCAAGTGGTAGAGCGCTAGCCTTGAGTTGAAGAGCTGAGGAACAGCACCTAGGCCCTGAGTTCAGGCCCACGACCAGCCCCCCTCCCCAAAATTGTTTTACATAAAATAGAATTGGGGGAGCTTATTACCTACACACAGCTCTCAGTTCACAGAATATAACCCAGGTCACCTGCTAAATCAGTAAGTATAAATGCCAGCACTAGAAGCCAGGGACCTTTTACTTTCAAACTTGGGACAAGAAGTCCGTGGGGACCCCGGGGGACAGAGCAGCCACTGAAATGGAGGGTTTTTTTGTGTTCAATTTTGAGGTTTATGTTTTGATTTTTTTTTCTTTTACCACTCAGCATAATAGAAAAATAAAAATGATACAGTTGGGTTTTGTTGTTGTTGTTTTGTTGGTTGTGGGGCTTGAATTCTGGGCCTGGGCACTGTCCCTCAGCTCTTCAGCTCAATGCTAATGCTCAGATTTCAGCCTCCTGAGTAGCTAGGATTACAGGCATGAGCCACTGGCACCTGGCCAAGAACATGTTTGAGTACAAAAACTATGTACAAAACAGTAAGTACAAAGTGAGATGACTGATCCAGCTAACATACCCATCACCTCTCATAACATCATTTTTTATGATGAGATCATTTTGCATTCAATCTATGGCCTCTGTGCTATATACCACAGACCTCTCAAGTTTTTTGTTTTCTTTTGTCGGGTGTGGGGCCTGAACATTGGGCCTTCTCTGCTCCTTTATGCATTGATAACTTTCCTGGATGACAGGCTTCAAACAAACCTCAAATCTCAGCCTTGAGAGTATGACTACAGGCGTGAGCCACCACAGCTTGGATTATTGGTTTGTTTTTTAATTTATTGTTATTTTAGAGGTGATATACAGCAGTTACATTGGCTATTTTTTGTTTGTTTTTTTGGTCAGTTGTGGTGCTTGAACTCTTGGCCTGGACGCGGTTCCTGAACTCTTCAGCTCAAGGGGAGTGTTCTACCTCTTGAGCCACAGTGCCACTTCTGGTTTTCTGGTGGTTTATGGGAGATAAGAGTCTCCAGGGCTGGCTTTGAACAGCAATCATCAGATCTCAGGCTCCAGAGTAGCTAGGATTACAGGTGTGAGCCACTGGCGCCCAGTGCATTGGTTATTTATTTTATTTTTTTTGTCGGTCGTGGGGCCTGAGCTCTGGGTCTGGGCGCTGTCCCTCAGCTCTTCAGCTCAAGGCTAACGGTCTGCCACTTGAGCCACAGTGCCACTTCTGGGTTTTTTCTTTTTTTTTTTTTGCTTATGTGGTGCTGAGGAATCGAACCCAGGGCCTCATGCATGCAAGGCAAGCGCTCTGCCACTGAGCCACCTTCCCAGCCCACACTGGTTATTTTTGAAGTAACATTTCATTTCATGTCCAGGATAGCTTGGGCTGTGACCCTTCTCCATGTCACTAGGGTGACGTGTGCCTGCCACTGTGCTCGGCCACTATGCTTCTTCGGCAAACACCACTATACCAAGCCATCGGCTGAGATGATATCAAACTCTAATCAGGGCTCAGAAGAAAAGTTCCAATGATCCAACAATCTCCATCTCCCAAGTAGCTCTAATTATGGGTTTGAACTACATGCCCAGCTAGAAGGGGTATTTTATTTGCTTACTTATTCATTCATTCATTCATTTTTTAACCCAAGGCCTGGATACTATACCTTATTTTTTCACCAAAGAGTTTAGCACTTGAGTTACAGCTCCACTCCCAGTTTTTGGTAGTTTATTGAAGGTAAGAGAGTCACAGAGTTGTCTACACCTGTTGGCTTTGAACCATGATCCTCAGATGTCAGCCTGCTGAGTGGGATTACAGGAGTTAATTCTGCTCCTGCAGACAGACCAACTACCATGGCCTTGATAATACAAGGTCACATCACTCTGGATGTCATGTTAGAAGGCAAAACAAAGTCTAGCATTTTTGAAAGAACTTCATGATCAGAAAGAAGGTAATTCTGATTGGTAGCTTGTTCTAGGCTCTGTGGTAATCATTAGTGTTGACCCTGCTGACTCAAAACCCATAGATGGAGCTGAATGCTGGTGACTCACACCTGTAATCCACTCAGGAGACAGATCTGAGGGCAGCCTGGGCAGGAAAGCCCACTGAGACTCCCCCCTTTTTTTTTTTTTGGCTGGTCTTGGGGCTTGAACTCTGGGCCTAGTCAATGTCTCTCGGCTTTTGCGCTCTATGTGTTGAGCCATAGCTCCACTTCCAATTTGTGTGTGTGTGTGTGTGTGTGTGGAGGTAACAGTGTCACTAGCTGGGCACTGGTGGCTCATACCTGTAACCCTAGCGACTCAGGAGGCTGAGATCTGAGAATCACGGTTCAAAGCCATCCTAGGAAGGAAAGTCCACAAAACTCTTATCTCCAATTAATCACAGAAAAAGCCAGAAGTGGTGCTATGGCTCAAGTGGGAAAGTGCTAGATTTCAGCTGAAGAGCTGAGGGACAGCGCCCAGGCCCAGAGTTCAGGCCCCATGACCAACAAAACAAACAAACAAACAAACTTAGTGTCTCCCATATGCTACACAAATGCTCTACCACTTAGCTCCCCTCCTAGGTCCTAGGCCACTGAAAAACATTACAATGTCCTGGACAACTTCCACAAATAACAATAATGCACTTCTGTCTCCGAATTCTCCACTGTTAAGTACAGAGCAATCTAGCCAGACAAACAACAGGCCACATTACTCTTCAACCTAAAAGCATAACTTCCCGTCAAGTTGGCTAATCAGCCCAACTGAACTTGTATGCATTTAGACAAAAAGAGGACAACAGAACTAGGTCTATACTGAACGTAAGCAACTCTTCAAGTACTTACCGAGCATTTACACTGTATTAGGCATTATGAATAACTCAGAAATGATTTAAAGCATGGGGAGATATGCCTAAATTATGCAAATACTATGCAATTTTACTAAAGGAATGAATGTGTCCCTGGGTTTTGGACTGGAGTACCCCGGAACCAATATCCTCAGACATCACAGGGTGGCCCATTTGAGCTTAAAAAGCACAGTACTGCCAGGCACCGGTGGCTCTCACCTGTAATCCTAGCTACTCAGGAGGCTGAGATCTGAGGATCATGGTTCAAAGCCAGCCCAGGCAAGGAAAGTCCGTGAGACTCTTATCTCCAATCAATAAACCACCAGAAAACCGGAAGTGGCACTGTAGCTCAAGTGGTAGAGAGCTAGCCTTGAGCTGAAAAGTGCAGGGATAGCAGTCAGGCCCAGCGTTCAAGCCCCAGGACCGGGCTGGGACGGTGGCTCAGTGATAGAGCGCTTGCCTTGCATGCATGAGGAGAAAAAGTCGCCAGAAGTGGGGCTGTGGCTCAAGTGGTTGAGCACTAGTCTTGAGCTGAAGAGCTGAGGGACAGTGCTCAGGCCCAGAGTTCAGGCCCCATGATGAAAAGAAAAGAAAAGAAAGAAAAAAGAAAAGGAAAGAGAAGAGAAGAAAAGGAGTTCAGGGACAGTGCCCAAGACCTGAGTTCAAGCCCTAGGACTGGCACACACACACAAAGCCAGAAGTGGAGCTGCTAGCCTCAAGCCAAAGCAGCTCAGAAACAGTGCCTAGGCCCCAAGTTCAAGCCAAAAATAAACAAACAAATGCAAAGGAAAGGATGTGACCAGCTCAGGCCACAGGCCTTGGCTTATAGGAGCAGTCCCTGGCTGTCTTCACTGACAAAGTCCGTAAGAGGTACATTCTCCAATAGGTGAGACCCCACAACCTTGTGAACTTCATTCAATAGTTTTAGGGAAGGTCAGACCATTGTAACTCTCCTGTTTCCTCAGGAGAAGTATGTATGTGCCAAGTGGTCCCTCCCGCCACCCCACACACGCATTCTATGGACTGCGTACCTGGGTCTTCGCAGAGCTGGCCTGGTGGTCTACTTAGGAGCCCCAGGCCCTGTGCCAAGGCTGCGGGCTGAGCGTCCTGGCTCTTTGTGAGGTCACTCTGGGGTTCCACTGGCAAACGCTCCTGCTCTTGGTCCGGGGGGCCATCCCCATCATCGATCACCACAGGGTCTTCACAGTGCTTCAGCTGCAATCCCAGAGTTATTCAAGGCTAGGTAGAGAGGACCCTGGGCAAGGCTCAGCCAGTAGGCTCTGCCACGGCCCGAAGTCCGATGACCATGCCATCCACAGCTGGACACCAACTGTTCAACCTGAACCTTGGACAAGGCTTTCAGGAGGATGCCAGGACCATGCCTAAATCATACCCCTTAGCAAGTAAAATTTGCTTTCCTCAGAAACCAGACTCAATCTGGGCCTGATATTAAAGGTCATACCTCTAGACAGAATTACCCCTACCAAAACCCTGAACCCAGGCTATCTGACCAGGTTCTCCTTCCCCCAGCCTGCCCCTGCTCACCCACTGCCAGGGTCTCCCTGGCTCCCGTTCCAGTGCCTCCACTGCAGCCACAGCCTGCTCGCCGTTCTCGGGCTCCTGGGCACGCACCCAGCTCTGGATCTCCCATGGCAGGATGGCTAGAAACTGCTCCAACACGAGGAGCTCCAGGATCTGCTCTTTGGTGTGCCTCTCCATTCGCAGCCAGCCCCGGCACAGGTCCCAGAGGCGGTGCAGAGCCTCCCGGGGGCCTGCAGCCTCTTGGTAGCGGAATCGGCGGAACAGGCGCCGGGAAGACTCAGGGCTGGGAAGCTCCCCCTGGGGGGTAGGGTTCTCTCCAGGAGGGCTTCTCATTTTCCTGGGCTCCTCACTTTCCTTCGGAGCCAAGACTCGGGGGCATAGGGCTGTGGGCATGATGGGATTTGATGGAGGTCAGCAGCAGAAGACGACCCTATTTCCAAACAGAAATCGCTGGCTTCAATGCTCTGGTTTCCTGAGGTTGTTTCTGGGTGGTAGCAGACAAAGCCCACAGAGACCAGCCCTTTGGAGAAGCCCTGGGAAACGTAAGGAGTATCTATGTGATCTGTCCTTACATGTGGGGACAGAGAGAAAGATAACCCTTCCCCTCAGTACCATCAGTTGTATTGCCCTAATTGGAGAAGTGAACAAATCTGGGAGAAGAGTGTTGGCACTGCAACACAGCACTGGTGTTCCCCAGTGCCCCAGGGGCCACTGAGACCATGTGCAGGTAAGGTTATAATTAAGGCTCTGAGGTACCTTTGGGGCCAGGTCCTACTGGAGAAAACCCAAGGTGGACAGATGTGCAAAGCAGGTCACTATCTTCACGCTCTGGAGTTGAAGTCACTGTCCTGGCTCTTGAGAACTTTACAAAATAAGCTGGGGGAGGAGGGGGAAGGGGAGGGAGACAGACATGTTCGTGAAGAGCCATCAAGCTGGGACAAGGATAGTAAAATCCATTCTGCTTGCGGTCAAGGGCTGAACACTGGGGCTACATCCTGGACAAACAGCTAGAATTCCCCTCGCCCACCTTACTTTAGAAGGCAGAGATTGAAGCATTAGGGAAGAGAAGGTTCTCAGAGTTGGAAGATATAACAAGATACAGCTGTACATATTACACCAGAGAGGAATAACATTGTATTTTAAAATATCAGCATTTGGGCTGGGAAGGTGGCTCAGTGATAGAGTGCTTGTCAAGCATGCATGAGGCCTTGGGTTCGATTCCTCAGCACCACATAAGCAGAAAAAAGTCAGAAGTGGTGCTGTGGCCCAAGTGGTAGGGCACTAGCTTTGAGCTGAAGAGCTGAGGGACAACACCAAGCCCAGAGTTCAGCTCCCACGACTGACAATAAACAAACAAACAAAGTATCAGCATTGCTAGGTGCCGGTGCCACTCCGGCCGGTAAATCCTAGCTATTCAGGAAGCTGAGCCCTTAGGATTGCTTTTCAAAGCCAAGCTGGGGAAAGAACGTCTGTGAGACTCTCATCTCCAGAAGTGAAGCTGCACAAGGCTCAGGGGCAGCACTCAGGCTGTGAGTTCAAGTCCCAGGGCTGGCACTGGTGCGCGCACACACTCAGCTTTAAGGCTGCAGGTGTGGCTCAATGGTAAAGTACCCTGGATTCTATCCCAGCACTTCAAAACACGAAATGATAACTGCTCTTCAGACCAGCTCCGTTCAGTTGCGTCAACTATCTGGATGAAACTCCAAGCCTTCCTCCATCCCCTGCGACCCTCGCTCTCCAAACCACGCCCAAGGCAACGGTGCGCGCCGGGGAGGAGCGCCCGGCTCCGGAGGACGCGGGCCCACGACCGCCTCACTGCGGGGCGGGCGCGCAGGGCAGGGCCGGGCTTCGCGCTCCGCTCGCGGGCGGCCCGGCCGCCGCCCCTCGGGGTCGGAAGGAGCTTCCGGCTCCGAAGGAACCGGTGACAGCCCGGGGGGCGCGGGCCTCCCTCCCCGCCAACGCCGACGGCTGCCGAAGGGCCCCTCGAGGGAACCGCGCTGCTCCAGCGGCCAGAGGCCCCGGACGTCTTCAGGTCCCGGCGGCCGCAGGGCGCGCGGGCGCAGAGCCGCCGCCCGCCGCGGGTCTCCGGGCCGCGGGTCGCCGCGCCGGGCGGACGCACTGACGCGGCCGGCGGCTCTCGCAGGGGCGGGGCCTGGCGAGCGCGGCCACAAAGGGAGGGCCGCGGGTCGGGGGGCCGCGGGCGAGGCCGGGGAGGGGACCCCCCCCCCCCGTCAGGGCGCGCCGCCGCGCACGCGCGCACACGCACACGCGCGCCTCCGGGACGGCCCGCTCCGCCGCTCACCTCGCAGCCGCCCCGCCCCGGGCACGCGCAGCTTCTCATCCTTCCCGCGCGGCCGGGTCGAGCGGGCTCTCGGCAGGGCGCAGACTCCGGCGCGGCGCGTCCGGCGCGGGCCCGGCTCACCCCGAGCGCCTGGGCCCGGCTGGGGGGCAGAAGGAGCCGCCTGAAAGACAACAACGCAGCCCCATCCTCGCCCGCACGGCCGCGGACACGCAGCGCCGCGCGGGGGTGCAACGCGGGCGGAGGCGGGGGCCGGGGCGCGGGGAGCACGCGGGGCGCGCGGGCAGCGGGGCCGGGGCGCGCAGGCGACGGAGCCGCCCCCCACTCACCGCTTCGGCGCCACCCGGTCGGCGGGCCGCGCTGGCCGGGCTGCCGCCGAAAGGAAAGGCCGGAGCCCTCCGGCTCCCTCCCCTGGGACACTTCCTGCTCCGCTCTAGGACCGAGGAGGTCTCCGCATCTCAGTGGTTCGCGTCCCCGCCCCCCGGCCGAGGTGTGCGCGGGGGGGTGACATCCGACACCCCCGGCCCGCCCGGCCTCGCGCCCGCCCCGCCCCGCTCCGCGCGCGCCCAGGCCCGGGCGCCCGGCCCGCGGCTTTGTGGGCCTCCCCGGGGCGGGCGCGCGGGACGGCGCGGGCGCGGGGGGCGGCGCGAGGCCGGGGGCGCGGCCGGCGGGAATGTTTGACCTGGGGCGCCTAGCGGGAGGCCGGCCCGACGCACCGCCCTTCCCCGCCCATCCCGCTCCCCACGCGGAGGCCGCGGGCGGCGCGCCGGGATGGAGGGGGCGTGAGGAGCTCCTCAGCGGCCAGCGCCCCCGGCCTGCGGCCCCCGCTCCCGGCCTGCGGCCCCCCCCCCCCCCGCTCCCGGCCTGCGCCCCCCCCCCCGCTCCCGGCCTGCGCCCCCCCCCGCTCCCGGCCTGCGCCCCCCCCCCCGCTCCACGGCCTGCGGCCCCCCCGCTCCACGGCCTGCGGCCCCCCCCCCCGCTCCACGGCCTGCGCCCCCCCCCCCCGCTCCACGGCCTGCGCCCCCCCTCCACGGCCTGCGCCCCCCCCCCCCCCCGCTCCTGGCCTGCGCCCCCCCTCCACGGCCTGCGCCCCCCGCTCCACGGCCTGCGCCCCCCCCCCCCAGCTCCACGGCCTGCGCCCCCCCCCCCCCCGCTCCCAGGCCTGCGCCCCCCCCCCGCTCCCGGCCTGCGCCCCCCCGCTCCCAGGCCTGCCCCCCCCCCGCTCCCAGGCCTGCGCCCCCCCTCCAGGGCCTGTGCTCCCCGCTCCACGGCCTGCGCCCCCCCCCCCGCTCCCGGCCTGCGCCCCCCCCCCCCGCTCCCGGCCTGCGGCCCCCGTTCCACAGCCTGCGCCCCCCGCTCCCCAGCCTGCGGCCCCCGCTCCCCAGCCTGCGGCCCCCCCCCCCCCCCCGCTCCCGGCCTGCGGCCTCCGTTCCACAGCCTGCGCCCCCCCCCCCGCTCCCGGCCTGCGCCCCCCCCCCCCCGCTCCCGGCCTGCGGCCCCCGTTCCACAGCCTGCGCCCCCCCGCTCCCCAGCCTGCGGCCCCCGCTCCCGGCCTGCGCGCCCCCCCCCCCCCCCGCTCCCGGCCTGCGGCCTCCGTTCCACAGCCTGCGCCCCCCGCTCCCCAGCCTGCGCCCCCCGCTCCCCAGCCTGCGCCCCCCCCCACGGCCTGCAGCCCCCCCGCTCCACGGCCTGCGCCCCTCGCTCCCCGGCCTGCGCCCCCCCCCCCGCTCCACGGCCTGCAGCCCCCCCACGGCCTGCGCCCCCCCCCCCCGCTCCCGGCCTGCGCCCCCCCCTCCACGGCCTGCAGCACCCCCGCTCCCCGGCCTGCGCCCCTCGCTCCCCGGCCTGCCCCCCCCCCCCCCCGCTCCACGGCCTGCAGCCCCCCCACGGCCTGCGCCCCCCCCCCGCTCCCGGCCTGCGCCCCCCCCCTCCACGGCCTGCAGCACCCCCGCTCCCCGGCCTGCGCCCCTCGCTCCCCGGCCTGCCCCCCCCCTGCTCCACGGCCTGCGCCCCCCCCCCCGCTCCCGGCCTGCGGCCCCCGCACCCCCGGCCTGCGCCCCTCGCTCCCCGGCCTGCCCCCCCCCCTGCTCCACGGCCTGCGGCCCCCCCCCCCCCGCTCCACGGCCTGCGCCCCCCCCCCGCTCCCGGCCTGCGGCCCCCGCACCCCCGGCCTGCGCCCCCCGCACCCCCGGCCTGCCCCCCCCCCTGCTCCACGGCCTGCGGCCCCCCCCCCCGCACCCCCGGCCTGCGCCCCCCCCCCCCCCGCTCCCGGCCTGCGGCCCCCGCATCCCCGGCCTGCGCCCCTCGCTCCCCGGCCTGCGGCCCCGCACCCCCTGCCTGCGGCCCCCGCTCCCCGGCCTGCGGCCCCCCCCCCCCCGCTCCCGGCCTGCGGCCCCCGCATCCCCGGCCTGCGCCCCTCGCTCCCCGGCCTGCGGCCCCGCACCCCCTGCCTGCGGCCCCCGCTCCCCGGCCTGCGGCCCTCGCTCCCCGGCCTGCGGCCCCGCACCCCCGGCCTGCGGCCCTCGCTCCCCGGCCTGCGGCCCTCGCTCCCCGGCCTGCGGCCCCCGCTCCCCGGCCTGCGGCCCTCGCACCCCCGGCCTGCGGCCCCCGCTCCCGGCCTGCGGCCCAGGATGACAGCTTCCCACTGTGGACAGGGAGGTCCGTGTCCCACCGCGGCCATGGAACAGGTGTGGGCCTGATGGCAGTACCGGGAGTACCGGGTGGCGTGCCGGCAGTACCGAGAGTACCGGGTGGCGTGTCGGCAGTACCGAGAGTACCGGGTGGCGTGTCGGCAGACCGAGAGTACCGGGTGTGTCGGCAGTGCCGGCAGTACCGGGCAGCAGCGCGGGCGCGGACCACAGGCCGGTGCGGGCCGCCTTCCCGCGGTCTCCCCCGGGTCCGTAACTTTCCAGGCTCCCAAACCGGGGGAGGTGGGGCCGCGGGGCCGCCCTGGGGTCGGGCTTCCAGGCGCGTGCGGGAGCGGCCCGAGGAGCCCGGCGCTCAGGGCCCGCAGGCCTCGAGCCTGCTCCCAACTGCTGGGCCGCAGGCCCGCGGAGCCGCGCTGGACCTACCGGGAGCCTGAGCCGCGGCCTGGAGGAAGAGGCCGGACGCGGCCCCCACCCAGCGCCCGGCCCGAGCGGACCTCGGCAGCCGGGACCGAGCGCGAGACCGTCGGCGGGCGGAGGAGAGCCCCGGAGACCGGAAGCAGAGGAAAGCTCCGGCAGCCCGCCCGCCCTCAGGCCCGCACCGCCCGCGGCGCTTCGCTGGGCCGGGCGGCCTGTTGCCAGTGTGCCGTCAATCAGCGCATGTGCGTCCGGCCTGAACCCTGCTACCCTAGGCCGGGCAGAAGCAATGAGAAGGCCCGGGACTCTTCAGTTAACTCGCAAATGACCAAAGAGAATGAGGTCCTGAGGTCAGGCCTCCCCAGGACTGGCACACACACGCACTTCCAGTGCTGGAGCCCTTTCAGGACCACAAACACATCCGTGAACACTGTTGATTATCAGAGGAAAGCAGCCAAATCAGGGCTGGAGCCGCCACTTAACGGATACAGACTTACTTAGCAAGTGAATTACAGGGAATTCAAAGCCTACTGCAAGAGGCAACTTAAAAGATGCTTTTAAACCAGGCACCAATGGCTCACACATGTAATCCTAGCTACTCAGGTGGTTGAGATCTGAGGATTGCAGTTCAAAGCCAGCCAGGGCAGAAAAGTATGTGAAATTCTTATCTCTGATAAACCTCCAGAAAACCAGAAGTGGCGCTGTGGCTCCAGTGGTAGAGTGCTAGCCTTGAGCTGAAGAGTTGAGGGACAGCGCCCAGGCCCAGCTCAAGCCCACAACCAACAACAACAAAAAAAAGGTTCTTTTATTCACATACATATATGCATTTATGTATACGTGTATACATATATGTATATATGTATAGATACATGTATGTGTGTATAACTATATTAACTAATGGCCATCCAATCTGGGATGAGAGCATTTCAGTTGCATTTCCCTAGTGTCTAGTGATGTAGAACACTCTTGTGCTTATTGGCCATTTGTATTTCTTTCTTTTCATAAGTACCTATCCAGAACACTTGCTCACTCCTTTTTTTTTTTTTTTTTGGTCGGTTGTGGAACCCGAACTTGGAGCCTGGGCGCTGTCCCTCAGCTCTTCAGCTCAAGACCAGCACTCTACCACTTGAGCCATAGCACCACTTTGGCTTTTTCTGCTTATGTGGTGCTGAGGAATCGAACCCAGGGCCTCGTGCATGCAAGGAAGAGAAAGCATACCTTTTAAATCTGCTGGTGAAAGCAGAGCTAGTGAGTAGTGGTCAGACTCAGTTCTCCCAAGTGAAGGCAGTGCAGTGTCTTCACAGGCTTTGCTGCAGAAGTTAGAACCACCCCCGTGGGTGACTGACTTTCCTTCTAGAGGCGGGAAATGCTGGGAAGCCAGTTTCTGGAAAAGAGCAGGAAGCCATCCAAGGCTTGGGACTTGCTGGCTTTTGAATGTGTGATAGACAAGGAGTTGAAGTCTGAAGGATAGAGTTTGGTTGTGGTGGAATTGGAATTGTAGAGTGCAGATACTGCCCCAGGGCAAGGGAGTGCTGCTAGCTGGGGCACTGCCGGGAAAGCCTGGGGGCAACGAGACAGGATCTGAAGAAAGGGTGTTAGTGGGGAGGAACTGGAGATCAAGGAGCCCCACCTGGAGGAGAGGGAGACCCCCGAGTGGAACTAATACCTTCCTGGAAGAGGGAGGCACCATCTGATCTTGCTGCTTCCAGGTCAAGGAGGTGGGGAAAATGACTCCTTGGCCTGGGAGTCAAGTTTGCAGTCAGCATACTATTGTGCTAGTGAGTCACTACCCTGTGCCCCCATCCCCACACCCACTCGGGACAGTCACTGGCAAGGCTGCTGGTGCTTCCGTCCATCTTGGCTTATTTTCACACTTTCTCTCCTTGCAGTGCCTCAGGTACTCAGATGTGCCCACGACCCTAGGCTTGTCCCAATCTCTCAACCTCTACAGCCAGCTTAATCCTTTAGTGAGCTGATTACAGCATCCTGTAATTTCAGGAAGGTTACAGTGAGAGAGAACAGGAGTCAAGGATCCAATGTAAAGATGCAAGAACAGCTAGTGGTAGAACACTTGCCCAGCATGAGAAACCCCTCCTGGACCCAGTCCAGAAGTTCAGTGTTACTGTGTGTGTGTGAGAGAGAGACAGATAGAGAAGAGAAGCAGAGACAGAGACCAGTAAATATAGGAGAGTAGACCCACCTTGGATTGTGATATTTGTCCTATTTTCCGTGTCAGAGCCCAACTCCTGAGTGGCCTGTCGTCTCTGACAATCTACTACGTCAGATGCTGTTTAAGTCACAAGACCATTTTGTCCCAGCCTTGGGTATTTTGCCTCTTTCCAATCGAAGTACAGGAAAATACCATTTTTTTTCTTTTGGGCTATGTGATTAATGTAAATGATGGGAAGTGACAGATTAAATTCTCCAGTCATAAACTATTGATGAAACGTTTGGCTTACAGGGATAAAGCAAAACCTTCTGCATGAATAGCTCAGTAGAGAATGAATGGTTGTTTATCATACTTCTTTCACCATTAGCTGCAAATAACTTTCAAACAATTTAGTGTTTGACATCAATTTTAGTGTATCTCTGTCAGCCATTCTACCACTGACCACTGTAAGGGATGGCTATAGGCATCATCTTGACTGAACTAGGGGACTCCCAGCTGGTATGCACCTAGCATGGTTTCCTCCCAAGATGAACATCTGTGTATGAGGATCAGTCCTTACCAGCCATTAGTCATCAATAATCCTCAATCTCTGGCTGAGTAGGGGGTCAGGTTGAATAAGGGTGCTGAGGAAGGAGGAATCTTCTTCTTCATCATCGTTCTCGTGGAGCTGAACTCTGGGCCTGGGCGCTGTCCCTCAGTAAGTCAGCTCTACCTCTTGAGCCACAGCGCCACTTCCAATTTTCTAGTGGTTTATTGGAGATAAGAGTCTCACAGACTTTCCTGCCCTGGCTGGCTTTGAATCGTGATCATCAGATCTCAGCCTCCTGAGTAGCTAGGATTACAGGCGTGAGCCACTGGCACCCGGCTTCTTTTTTTATTTTTTGCCAGTCCTGGAGCTTGAACTCGGGCCTGGGCACTGTTCCTGAGCCTCTCTGTGCTCAAGGCTAGCACTCTACTACTCTAGCCACAGCACCGCATCCAGATTTTTCTGTTTATGTGGCACTGAGGAATCATACCCAAGGCTTCATGTGTGCTAGGCTAGCACTCTACCACTAAGCCACATTCCCAGACCAGTTAGCCATCTCTCCCTCAGCACTTGGCTCACCAGAGTATCACCATGCAAGTCCAGGGAGTCATTATGAATGGAAACCATCTCACATGGCTACTCTAAGGACACATTCTTGTCACATACATAGCCCTGGAGAGTCACTGAGAGGACCACAAGGACATTTCCCTTTGCCCTTGAGACCTTTTGAGATAAGGCAATGGGAATTTGTGCAAATATCACCACCTCAGAGTACAAATACAGATAGATTTTGGTTACAATTTGTTTGCTCTCAGGGCTGAGGCATTTCCAGGCTCCCAGAGTGATAGCCCAAATGCTACCACACAACATTATTCGCACTTGGGCAAGGCTTCTGAGCTGCACAGACACTAGGGCTATTTCCTGTCCAGCTATTTTGTCACCATTTCCAGTATACCATTGTGCTTGTCCTTTTTTTTTTTTTGTCTTTTTTTGACAGTCATGGGGCTTAAACTCTGGGCTTAGGTGCTGTCCCTCAGCTCTTCAGCTGGAGGTGAGCACTCTACTACTTGAGCCACAGTTCCACTTTGGGTTTTCTGGTGGTCAATTTGAGGTAAGAATCTCACAGACTTTCCTGCCTAGGCTGGCTTTGAACTGAGATCCTCATATCTCAGCTTCCTGAGTAGCTAGGATTACAGACGTGAGCCACCAGGGCCTGGCATAGCCCTAGCTTTTCTTTTCTTTTCTTTTTTTATTGGTTGTGGGGCCTGAACTCTGGGCCTGGGCGTTATCCCTCAGCTCTTCAGCTCAAGTCTAGTGTTCTACCACTTAAGCCACAGTGCCACTTCCAGTTTTCTGATGGTTTATTAGAGATGAGTCTCAGGGCCTTTCCGACTCCGGCTGGCTTTGAACTTTGATCCTCAGATCTCTGCCTCCTGAGTAGCTAGGATTACAGGTGTGATCCACCTGTGCCCGGCAGCCCTTTTTCTAGTGATACTTTCTTAATTGTGTGGAATGGGGGATTGTTAGAAACTATCTCTGGTTGGTTAGAAGTGACAACTGTGGATAGTAGAGGCAGTCCCATAAGACTGAGACTTTAACCTGTGTAATTATCAAATGGCACGGTAACCATAGTTGAGAGAGTTTAATAGGCCTTGTTAGTAGAGAGCTTTGCGTGGTTCTTGTACATGGTTGTTGCAAGCCAGCACGTGCCCCTTAACACACTGCACCCAAAGCACAAGTCAGCAACAGAGACTGGACTATGGAGTTGAGATTTGGGATGCCAGCTTCAGATCCCAATGTTCCATTCACCAAGGTTTTTTGTTGGTTTCCTATAGGAAAGTACGTGCACACAGTAAGGTTTAAACAGAACGAGTGGCAGCATTTTGTATACCAGCGGTGGCAGACCTCCTTATCTTGGGAAT